GGAGAGAGAGAGAGAGAGAGAGAAACAGAGGGAGAGGGCGAAGTAGAAGGAGAGTGAAGGAAGTATTCCGTCCAGCGTGGGAAAAACACAAACACAAACACGCAACGCCACTGACGTTTGAGCCGTGAAGAAGGCAAAAACCACCACCACCGCCACCGCCAACAAAAAAGGCGTGCAAGTGAACCACAACATCCAAAACAAACACCATGAACAGCGCCGAAAAAAAAAACACAGGCAGAAAAGTATATATATATAAAAAAGAACTACAACAAAAAAAAAGGCAAAGAAAGAAGACAAAAAAGAGGAAAGTGGCAGGAATCACACATACTTCGCATACGCGTGTGTGAACTCGGGGGTGCAACACTTACGGGTGCCCTCATAAAAAAGCAAATGAAAATAAAGTACGAGGGCCACTTTGATATTTGCTTCTTCGTGTGTATATATACACACACACACACACGCATCTTCCTGCGTGTGTGGTCATCTCCCTCCAGACAGCGCCCTTACATTTTGGTGGGATACTTCGTCTCCCACTTCCTTTTCGCTACTAACACCACTAAGTAAAGTAGAAAAAAAAAACAACAACCGCCGCACACGTTTCACTCCCCCTCCCCCTCCTCGTTGTCTGCCCCTTTACACATTGAGTTTTCCCTCACGTAAAGCCCAAAAACTGCCCTCCTCCTCCTCCTCGCTCGCAAGTTTTCCCCAACTTTTTGCCGTAGGCAATAAAGTTCTTACTTTTTTTTCTTTTCTTTTTTTCAATTATAATCCCCGTCCTTTTGCCCTTCCCCCACCCCCACTCCTACTATTTCACGCCCACAGCACCGAATTAAATGCCATCACAGGCCAGTTACGCGTGCGTATGTGTCCGTGTATGTGTGCGAACGCAGTTATGTGCGTAAATCCATTGCATGGCTTTTCCCCTCCTCCTCCTCCTCCTCCTCCTCCGCCCCCTCCCCGTGCAAGACGTCGCCTACGGCTGAAGCATGTCGCGTACGCCATACTGCACCAGCTGCCGCACCATCGACAACGTGTCCGTCGTGGAGTTGCACGGTGAGTCCAGACTTGCCACCTCCTCCGCGTCAGGGCGGTCGCCGCCGTCTTCGTCGTCGTCGTCGTCGTCGTCTCTACGCACCGCTGCAGAACGGATGCCTGAATAAATGCTGCCTGGCGCACGCGTGTCGGAGCGGGATGGGGACCCGCCTGTGTGTGGATCATTCCTCTCCAGGCTAGCATCCTTCCGCGGCTGCATGAAGGGCACGCATGCGGAGAGGGCTCGCAGGATGCTGGGGAAGCGGAGGGGCTGCTGCCACGGGGAATTGGCCACGCTACGCCGCCACAGCGTACGGGAGCTCGCGTCACGTTCGCGAGAGCCGCGGGTGCCAGCGCTGGGCCCTGCCGCGAACCAATCAGGGGTGTCTGCGTAGCTCTGAAAGCAGGCCCCGTCGCTGGGGGTGGTGGAGCTGCCGCGCGGGGGCGAGATGCTATGCAGCTGCGACTCCACCTCCAACCGCCTGTGCCGTTCTTCGAAGAGGAGGCCTTCCACCCGTTCGCGGTCCTCGCGTTCCTCCTGCAGGAGTCTGGCATACATGGCGAGTTCGCGTTGCGCGTGTGCGGCCTCCACCTCATTCCTGCCGAGTTCCTCTAGTAGCTTGTGGGCCAGTTCCTTCTTCGGGATGTAGTGGATGCCGCCACCGTTTTCCTCCGGGATGCCTGGCAGGTCATAGATGATAGGCGAGAGCGTGACGCAGGGTGTCACGTTGCCCACCTCACCACCCGCAGGCAGCTCATCGCTAGTGGGGTTGCCGGTCCTATGGTTAAGCAGCGCACCCGCCCCCGCGTCCTCTGCCTTGTCCATCTCCGTGGTGTCGCTTCGCCGCCGCACCTTCACGAGGGCGGCCAGCTGCTTTTCTAACCACACGATGCGACGCAGGGCGAGCTGCAGCTTTGACTTCAGCTCTTCCTTGGTGTCAAGGTGGTTGACAACCGGTCGGTTGCGTATCCGCTTTGCGCGCTTGGCGAACTGCAGGGTGGAGAGGCTCTCCGCCGCGTCCCGCGTCTCGGGGGAGACCGTGCAAAGCAGTGTGGTGAAGGCGTTGCCGCCGATGCTCTCCTGCAGGAGGCGCGTGAGCTTGGAGTCGCGGTAGGGGATGTGTGTGAACTGCTCCCGCTCCTTCCCGGTGGCCGTCAGCTTGCGGATGACGTTCCCAAGCAGCGTGAGGGAGAGATTGATCGTCTGGGCCTCCTTCAGCCGCAGTCCCTCTGCCCCGGTCGCCGAGACCCGCTCGGAGCCCGCCAGGTCGACGAGCGTCAGCAGCGAACGCGTCCGCCCCCCGCTGCTCCGCCGCGTACGTTCCTCCTCCTCCTCCGCCCCCCGCTGCTCCGCCGCGCCCTCCGCCTCCTCGACGCCCCACTGCTGCAGGGCAACAAAGACAAAAAAGTGGGAGCGGCTGCTGCGTTCATTCAACGAGGTTGCGCCGATGCGGCGCGTCCGCGTGGCCCGCAGCAGCGTCTGCATGGCGACGTCAAAGGAACGCACCGGGAACCAGGAAAGCCCACTCACGGCAACGCCCCAGTCGGGGTCCTCGCAGATCTTTAACTCGCACGCTGCGGGGGGCACCGACCGCACCGACCGCAGCGACCGCACCGACCGCGGGGTGACGGAGTTGCAGGGGCTGGAGACGCTCGCGGCACGGCTAGAGGAGTTTAGCGGAGGTCCATCGGCCAACACATCCCGCATCTCCTCCTGGTAGAGCTCCAGCGCCCCGATCTCCACGTGCCAGCCAGGCTTGGGCGGCACTTCACTGCCCTCTTCCTCCTCCTCCTCCTCCTCCTCCTCCATGGCATCAAGGGCGAGGGCGTGCGGGAGTTGCTCCTGCTCCGGCTCTACCGGAAACTTCTGCTGCAGGAGGGTGAAGAGGCTCTCCAGCATGCGCGGCACCAAACCAAAATCCTCCGGCTTTTGCAGCCGCTCAAGCATGCCACCGGCCGGTCCAATCATCGAGTGGGTCTTGCCGCTCCCACTTTGCCCGTAGCACAGTATGGTGGCGTTGTACCCCTGCAGCAGGTAGCGCAGCATCTTGTACCCAACACACTTCATCGTGTCGTTCTGGTCGGCGGCCTCGCCAAGCGCGGCGTCGTAGGCGAAGTAAGTCCTACGACTTTCCAGCGACGCTGTTGGGGTGGCGGAGGTGGTCTGAAAAGTATTTCCTAAAACAGGTAGCTCCCGAAGGGGCGCCGTGTATTCCACCATGCCGGGACCATCGATGACGCGGCAACAAGGCTGCGCCATCTTGTTTGAGATCATCGGGCGAACCCGCACAATTACGCACACGTTGCCAGGCCCCATATCACTGAGGCCGGGCACGGCTGCCTCCTCGGATACCACGGAGTCCACGTTTTTGGGCGTCACAAGCAGCGTGGGAACTTCATGCACGGAGCAAGACCCCGTCGCCGTGCTGAAGCCGTCACCGCTGCTGAGGTGGGGACTGTCCTTGCGGGGCCGTCCCACGGCGGCCGCCGCCGCCGAATGTTTGCTGGCGTGCCCCCCACCGCGCGATGACGGCGAGTCCCACTGCAGCGGTGGGGAGCGACTGACGGTCGCGTCCGGCGGGGCCGTCGTCGGCGTGACGCTGCCGCGTCCAGCGGCGTTGGACTGCATTTGCGGGGGCGGGGAGGCCGGCGTGGCGGCTTCGGCCTGCCCGCCGCGTTCCGGCGTCAGAGACATGCGGCAGTAATTAACAAACCGTAAAAAGAAAAAAAGGCAAGAAAACTACAATTAGAATAACAAAGCCTCCCCACCCACAAGAACGAAGACCTAAATATCCACACGGCCCCGCCGGTGTGAGCGTGGCGGGAACGACGGTGGGCGCTGGAACTACTTGTACCGCTGCACCTCCGCAGGGAATAGGAAGGAAAAGGAAGAGACTAACACAGATAAAAAAAAGGACAATCAAGCGGAACACCACTGACGCAGACGGTGAGCGAAGGCGCATGCACCAGTAGAGGCTGAGCCACAGCCAACTCCCCACCCCCTACCAGGCAAAGTAAAGGAGAAGGAGGAGGGGGGAAGTGCAATAAATAAGTATGAACACTCGAGGAAAAACATCCAGAAAAGGAAAAGCAGCAGCAAAAGCAATTTCGGCCTCCTCCTTCCTTTTTCCCCTCTCTCTCCCTCTTTTTTTCTTGCCTTCTCGCTTGTTACCCATCGCCCCTTCAGTGGAGGGGCAAATCGTATTTTCACAGAGAAAGCTGCACGCACACACGCATTATGTATGTATTTATTCTACGCCTCGTTGTTGTAGAGTGTGTGTGTGTGTGTGTGTGTGTGAGAGAGAGAGAGAGAGAGAGAGAGAGCCACAGGCCTCTTGCGCACGCATGCGCGCTTACTGTTCTTTTTTCCTTTTCTCGTTTTTTGGTTAAGTTTATGTTTCTGACATCCTCCAATAGATGCAACGGCAGAACAACCCGGTCTAACGACCGTAACTGCACACACAGCGAGGGAAAGAGCAAGCGAGGCACACACACAGACACACACACACACATATATATATATATATCTTGTCAGTATGTGTCTAGCAGCCAGAGGTCACCACCGCTGGCTTGCCGCTCTTGCGGTGCACGCGAACCTGCGTGGGGTCAAAGCCCTTTTCATCCGAGCGGAACACCGCCCACGACGGGGTCGGTGCCGCGTACTCCGCCGCTGTAAAGTCCGTGCGCCCACTCCCGGCCAGCGCGGTAAACTTGTCGTAGTCGATCCACGTGTGCCAAACCCCTTGCACAAGAAAGCGGCGCAGGGCAATGAGGACGCAGCAGCTGTGCTCGTGTTCGCATGCAATGCTGTATGGGCCGCTAGACGCCGCTGCTACTCCTTCCTGCGCTGGATTGCCGTTGCTGACATTGTTCCCCGTCTCGTTATCCGACCTCTGGCTCGCGCTACCATGAAGCTCGGCCTCGGCGGGCGCCTGCGCCAGCCACGTCCGCTTGTCTTTTGGGGCGGTGTCGGCAGCCAGCGCCGCGCAGAGGTCCGCGCAGAAGCGCACCACCTCCTCGTGGCGCGGCACGTTCTCCTTCATCGTGAGCGTCGAGGTGGAGCTTGTGCCGCAGTACGTGACGCCCTTCACCTCGATAAAGTCCGGCCACCCGAGTCGCACGAGGTCGGCGTAGGCGGCAACGTTCTCCGTGTTGTACTGATTTACCAGCGTGAGGCGAAACACGGTGCGCTGCGGCTTGCGACGCAGCTCCCGCACGCAGGCCAGGCAGCGCTCCCAGTAGTCCTCAAACAGTGGGCGGTCGACGCGCTTCAGCTCCTCCGGCGTGGGGGCGTCAATGGAGAGGTAAAGCTGCGTCACCGGCTTCAGCAGCCGCAGCTGCTCCGGGAACTGCGCGTTGGTCACCATGAAGGAGGAGATGCCGCGCTCGTGCAGGAGGTCCACAAAGGCGTTGATCTCCGGGTACATGATCGGCTCCCCGACGAGGGAGAGGGCGCAGTGGCGCACCTGCATCCCCTCCTCCAGCCGCGCGGCGGTGACGCCGGGCACCCCCCGCATCTGCTTCATCATCTGCTGGTGGCCCGCAATCCCCCCGGCCACGAGTTGCTGCGGCGGGTCCACCTTCCAGCGAAAGGTGCGGGAGACGGGGTTGGTGTGGTGCCGCCAGCAGAACACGCACTTGTTGGCGCACGCCAGGCTCGGCGTCATCTCCATGCACTGGTGCGAGGCGATGTTGTAGAAGGTGTGTTTGTAGCACCCGCCCCGGCCACGCAGCATCGCCTTCGTCCAGCGGCACAGCTTCACCCCGCTGTGGGAGCCGACGAGGTGGTAGCCCTGCCGCTGCAGGTTTTGCCGCAGCCGCGGGTGCAGCAGCTCCGGCGGGTCCCCCGCCGCCGCCGCCGCCGCCGCTGCCCCGTCGTCGTCGTCGTCCGTCACGGCATCCTCCACGTCGTCCCCGCAGGCCTCACTTTCCCCCTCCGCCGCCGCCGCGTCGTCGTCGTCGTCGTCGTCCTCGCTGTCGGGCGCCGCATTGGCAACCGCCGGCGGCCGCGTCGTCTCCGCCCGCCGCGGCTTTCGCACCACCACAACCCCGTCCGCGGTGAAGACGACGCGGCCGACCCACTTCACCACAGAGGCCGTGAAGACGTTGAAGAGGGGGACCGTGTTGGCCTCGCTTGCGTACACCGGCGGCGTCACAAACGTCGCCCCGAGTCCCTTGCACCACGTGTAGAGGTTCTTTGCGAAGCGGTTGAAGTGGTTCGCGCCGTACGCAACGTCGCCGAGGCCAAAGACGGCAAACCGCGTCCTGGCGAGTGTGTCACGCGGCACCCGGAAGTCGGTGTAGGCGTCCTGCAGGAGATCGGCAAACATCTGCGACGACGCCGGCGCGGTGCCGTTTGTGTAGGTGCTCGCAATGAGCACCACGAAGCTGTAGGCGTGGCTCTCCAGCAGGTGCTCCACACTGCACTGCCGCGCCTCCTCGGCGAGCCGCAGCACCCGCACCTCCGGGACGTAGCTCGCCGCGCCGCAGCACGCGGAGCCCCGCTGCGCCACCTCGCCGGCCGCCTCATGCAGGGCGGCGTTCAGCGTGGAGAAGAGCTTGTGCGCCAGCTTGCACGCCGTGTTCGACTGCGTGGCGTACGCGATGAGGATCTTCTTCCCTGCGCCTCCGTTCGCGGGTGCCTGGCGGCGGGTGCAGCAGCCGTCTCCCTGCGCCTCCCGCCCGCTGCCGGTGGCGTCGCCCTCCGTCGCCTCGGCCTGCGTCTGCTGCGGCTTGCGGCGCAGCCGCCAGCGGTCGAGCAGCGTTCCGATCGTCATTATGACGACGGGGAGGAGGGCGCCGAGCAGCGTCCACAGCAGCAGCTCGGGGGGCAACGCCATCAGCGCCTCGGCGAGCGGCTGAAACATTCCCGCAGACACACTTCCGTTTCTGTTTCTTTTTTGTTTTGTTTTAAATCCTTTTCTTCTTTGCCCCGCCGCGCCGCCCTGCCTTTTCCCACACAACACTCTCTTCTCCCGCTTGTTCCTTTTGCTTTTTTTCCCCTTCCACACTGTAATGTGTGCGAGGCCTACGCGCGGCGGCCGAAAAAAAAACAACAACAACAGGGGGAGGGTGGGAGGGGAAAGAGGAAGCCCGGCAAGACCGCAGTGGTAGTAAGAGAGGCAACAACATGGAGAGAACGAAGGAGGCATGCGGCCCACAAAACCACTTGCCCCCCAGATGCACACACACACACACAATGCACAGAAATATATACACATGTCTAAAAGAAGAAGAAGAAAAACGGAAGGGATAGAGAAAGAGACGACGCTGAAAACCTGTTTGCATGTAATTCATGCCGCTGCCCTTGCGTGGCGCTGGTATCCGGGATGGGTGGCGTCTGCCCTCCGCCCTGCTGCGGCTCTCCAGCGCTGTGGCGCCAATGGAGACAGGCAGACAGAGAGAGAGAGTGCGTGTGTGAGAGAGAGAGAGAGAGAG